ACTCCTTTGATGTCCCACCAAATGCAAAGCATCACTTTCTGCCAATGGAGTCCAAGTTTTTGGGTCGGAAGTGGGTTTTCTCTAGGACTGAGCCATTGATTTTGGTGATTAATATTCGCATAGAGAAGCCATTTTTCATCGCTGGTGACAATTCTTTCCAAAAATGGTTCACGCGCATTACGTGCAAGAAGAGACGAAGCAATGTTCACACGTTGGAAACGACGATCATTGGGGAGTTCGTGAGTTACGGAGTTTTCCAATATTCCTTAGATGTTTACGTATTGTTTCATGAGAGACATGCAATTTCAGGGCCATTTAACGAGTGTGTTGCCTTGCTTAGACTCAACAAGAGGCTTCAGAGCATAAATATCAATTCCAACATGTCAGCCCCTGCCATCACAGCTTTTAAGGCTAAAGTCACCTGAACGAAATTTGCTGAACCATCGTTGACACTTACGAACGTTCAAAACATTTCCATAAACTTCTTTGATATTTTTTGTAGCTACAAAGGCGTTATTTCCCTTCTTGTATTCAAACAGCATTACATGCCAAATGTGTGTCTCGTCGTGTGCCATCACTATAAGAGATTTGAGTACACTAAACTTTACACATTATATAGGCCACACTAACGTGACAGGCCCGGCATGGTCAGGTGGTTAGGACACTCGACTCGCAATCTGCTGGTCGCAGGTTCGAATCCCCATCCCACCAAAACATGCTCCCCCGGTGTTCGGACTAGGACGGAAGTCCAGGATACTCACCTCCAAATGGTGTGGGAAAGGCAGTTCGTTTAACTATTATACGTGATGTACGTTGTTTGTTTGTTTTTTTGGGGGGATAATGAAAGTGTTCCAAAATGCGACATTAATATCATTACGACCTAATACATGGTGAAATCGGAATTACCAGCCAATGACAGATGAACATTAGATGACTAACATATAAATACTCAATGCCAACCCTATATTATGTATCACATGAAGGAGTAAAATAAAATCAATACACATAATATTAAAGTTTATTGCACACATTTGTAGAATAATTACTTTAAAAGACACGCGGCTTTATTTAAGGCAATGTCTTAGATGCATACGTTTCATTTTAAAAGTCTGCTTTTCTACTGGTGAAATTTGCTACGTGCTTAGCCCTATCGCTACAGGTTTTTTTTTATGTTCAGGGGTCGAATTTCATATCATCACGTTTGTAGACTTACAGTCAACATTTTATTGAACTACTATTTCGTGAATGTATGTCAGTAAGTTTTGTATCAAATTGTAGATTATAATTCAACTTTCAGTATTATACATTAGCTGTTTTCTTAATTTAAAAGTAGATATTAAAACAAAATTACTAACTATCAATTTTTGAGTGTCATGTGGTATGTTGAATGAAGCTTTGATTCAAATTAGATGTTTGTGATATCCAAGTAAAAAAGTCTACAGTTTCTTACGAATTAGAAACTAAAATTACCATTGTTGACAAGCTAGAAAATAAAATAACAACCTCCTATCTTTTATATTTTTTGATATATTGTTATATTTAGTGAATCAACTAAGGTGGACCCGCCCACCTTTCCATTTTTGAAATAACTTGCTTACATACACCTACTTCGTACTATGACGTGCGTATAACCAATCAAAAGCTCAGAATGTCCCTCACCTGATTTTTTCAGCCTTTTTTAGTGTTTACAGGGAAAAAATTCATTTTCATGGTAGAAACGAAGCGGAGGGGGTAAGAGATAAGAGCTCGAAATATCATATTTTTTTTATTCAAATGCAGTTTAGTTTCTGAGCCTGATAAATTATAATCGAATTCTGTGGTATTTATTTAATAATTTATGATTTTTGTTATTTTAAAATGCATCCATAAAACCTAAAAAAATATTTTGTTTTACATCCTCCACGTGCGATATTTGACAAGGCTTCGAAATTTGCGGCAAGACGATGTTTTAGACGTATTATGTTTTATCTGAAAATACTACTTTTCCAATGGTGAAATTTTATACGCGCTTCGTGGGGGTTGGTGTCTTAGTCTATATATATATATGCATTATATATAGAGAATGTGGTTACACAGAAATTATAAATGCTCACTATATTCTCAAACAAATCTCCATGACAATCTTCAGCTGCAGCATAACATTTTACATCTCGAACTAATGTGATCAAATAGTCAATAGCTACAGTAAATCATCATGAATCGTATCAGCTAACTACTAGCTATATTTATTATCATTACAGTGTATAAAATTAGCTTTCATACTAAGTAATCCTTTGCTCATTGTTGAACATAAAAAAATCCAGAAAAAAAGATAAATACAAAATGTAATTCTAGGTAACAACATGGAGCCAAAATAGGGGTTTGTAGTTTGAGTATATAGTGTTTACAGTGTTTTCCGTCTCGTTTTCTTACTTTTTTACCATCTCTATTTGAAGGTTTTTAAATTCCCAATTTTTTATTTATTTTGTATCTTAAAACATAGTTTTGTATTGATAAACTTCGTAAGCAACAAATAATAAAAATTGGAAGTAAATATTATTCAGCATTAAAACATCATGTAAAATGACTTTCAATTAAAGTATTAATGATTTAATAAAATGGAAAA